GGGATACGTAAACCCGAAGGGTTTAGGGTTCAGGGTTTAGGGGTGAGGGTTTAGGGTTTAGGGGCTAGGGGTTAGGGTTTAGGGTTTAGGGTTTAGGGTTTAGGGTTTAGGGTTTGCTGCAGCCCCCGACGTGCTGAAGGATTTGTGGATTGAGTTTTCTCTGTTGGCCCCCGCGAGACTGAAGCACCTGCTGCCTCACATGGGTAAACCCTAAACCCTAAACCCTAAACCCTAAACCCTAAACCCTAGAGAGTGAAAGTCTAAACCTCCGTAACGGTATCTGCTTCTTTATTGCTTGATTCAGGACATTTTTTTCGAGGGTTTAGGGTTTAGGGTTTATGCCATATAGGGTTTTATCAGGGTTTAGGGTTTAGGGTTTAGGGTTTAGGGTTTAGGGTTTTGTATATTGTACCATTCACCATGCCTTTGAATCTCTCCTCATCACACATCTCCACATAAATAAATAAATAAATAAATAAATAAATAAATAAATAAATATATACATATATATATCAGGGTTTAGGGTTTAGGGTTTAGGGTTTAGGGTTTAGGGTTTAGGGTTTAGGGTTTGTGTGTAGGGTTTCTGGTGTATCCTCTGCTGCGTTCTCTTCGGAGCTCTGACGCTGATTTATTAACCCTCAGTTTAAGAACGATAGAACTTTGGGTTGAGCATTTGCATGCAGACTTTGTTTATCCTGTTCTAGCCTCACAAGTAAACCCTAAACCCTAAACCCTAAACCCTAAACCCTAATGTGGTCAAATGTATTCCACGCGAAAAACGCGAAAAAACGAACCCCGTAAACCCTAATTACACAAACCCTAAACCCTCATCAAGCAAACCCTAAACCCTAATCACCCAAACCCTAAACCCTAATCACCCAAACCCTAAACCCTAATCACACAAACCCTAAACCCTTTTAACAAACCCTAAACCCTTGTCATCCTAAACCCTCGGCCCAGTTGACTAAACGTCTCCAACAAACCCTAAACCCTAAACCCTAAACCCTCTTCAGAATATCTAAACCCTAAACCCTTGTCTCTATCCCTAAACCCTAACCCCTCCCCCGACTCCTAGATTGTTTCATAATACAGCAGTGGGTTGCCTGTATAGTGTTTGCTGTTCTAGGGTTTAGGGTTTAGGGTTTAGGGTTTGTGGTTGCAGGTGCAGCAAGGAGCACGACAGCAGCGGCGAACTCTGCTGCTGTCAGCTTTGCTGCAGCTGCTGCAGCCATTGCCTCCTGCTGCTCCAACCCCTTCTTTACTATTATCTCGATACTTTATAACAAGCTGCAGCAGCAGCAGCAGCAGCAGCAGCATAGTGCAGCAGCAGCAGCACGAGAAACATGCAGAAATGGTTATTAAAATACTAGGAAAGCTAGGCGGTAAGAATAGAGCCTTTCTCAAGGATGCAGCTGCCTGTACACCCGAACCCTACTTCAGGCCGGTGCTGACGATAGGTTTACCTATAGGGCCNAGGATGCAGCTGCCTGTACACCCGAACCCTACTTCAGGCCGGTGCTGACGATAGGTTTACCTATAGGGCCCTTCTGCTGCAGCAGCAGCAGCAGCAGCAGCAGCAGCAGCAGCGGGAGTAGGGGTAGGTTTAGCGGCAGCGGGAAAGTAGAAGTCGGAGACTGTCAGCTTGTTGCTGCAGCACCGCTGCAGCAGCAGCAGCAGCAGCAGCAGCAACAGCAGCAGCAGCAGGAGATGCTGCTGCAGCAGCAGGAACAGGAGCGTGCTTCTTGCGTCGCAGCAGCAGTAGCAGCAGCAAACCAAAACTACAGCAGCAGCAGCAGCAGCAGCAGCAGCAATATATGCTACGAAACTGTGCTGCAGCTGGGGGTAGATAAGGTTGTTTCTCTCGTGCTGCAGCTGCTGCAGCACGCCGACGCAGACAGAGCAGCAGCAAGCCTTTGTTATGCTTCTGAGCCTCTTCTTACTTCCGTGGGCTCTCGCATCGCAGCACAGCCGCAGCAGCATCCCCCTCAGCAGCAGCAGCAGCAGCAGCAGCAACAGCAGCAGCAGCAGCAGCAGCAGCAGCAGCAGGAGCACCCGCGGCGGCAGCAGCAGGTCATTGGCGCTCTCAAGCGAGCACTGGCAATCATCCGCAGCCAAAAGAGCAGCAACAGCAGCAACAGCAGCAGCAGCAGCAGCAGCAGCAGCACGAGCGACGGCAGCGAGAGCAGCACAACAGCAGCAGAGGATTCAGACGAGGACCCAAACAGCAACAGCAGCAGCAGCAGCAGCAGGAGCAGCAGCAGCAGGAGCTCAGCAGCAGCAGATAGAGCAGAGAGAGAAGGGCTGCAGCTGCTGCAGGGTTTGTTTGCTTCGGATGGTGCTGCTGCTCCCGGGCTGTGTCTTTCTCTTTGTGAGAGTTGTGTTGCTGCTGACATGCGCAGCAGCGCGGGGCAGCTGCTGCAGCAGGTGCTGCTGCTGCTGATTGATTTCGACTCTCCTTTGTCTCTCTATTGGTTGCTGCTCACCACTCGTGCTGCTGCTGCTACCCTGCAGCAGCAGCAGCAGCAGCAACAGCAGCAGCAGCAGCAGCAGCAACCGCCACCGAGAGTAATCTCTATAACGGACAGCAGCAAGTGCAGCAGCAAGAGCAGCAGCAGCAAGAGCAGCAGCAGCAAGAGCAGCAGCAGCAGCAGCAGC